GTGTTTTTTTGGATAAAATTCATGTAATAATTTTGAAGCTGTATTTTTAAGAGCTACTGTTTAAGATTAACCATCCATATCACTTGTAATAACAGATGATCCAAAATACTTTTCAACTTTATAATCGTGTTGATGCGTTTTTCTATCTGCGTCAGATAGTCGCTCTTCATCGTTATCAATAAGGTAATTCTTTCAGTTCATTTTTAGGTCTTCATAATAAATTTCTTTTAAGATCCTGGTGTTGAGGGTAATTGTTTGAATGTTTGAAAATTAGAACTAAATTTTAAATAATGCCCACATGAAAATGTGGATGTACATTGCCATCGATATGTCCGCCCTTCCACATTTCTTGGAGACAAGGAATAGAAAGAGGCTACAATTTTTTTACTGATCTTAATGAAACTTGGTGTGTAAGTATATATTGATGAGATTTCGGTCAAGTTCAAAATTAATAACAATCGGATGAACGTTTTTAGAGTTATTGCCCTTAGTAAATTAGTTATTGCTGTTGTGTGTACATCGATGAGATCTTTGAGATTTTGCCTTGATTTAAAAATATTTTTAAGATTATTTGAATATCCATTATTAAGCCAATTAAGACTTTCTTAACAGCTGAAAGTTGGCATATGTAACATTGCTACATTGTAACATCAAGCTATCTTCTATGATAACAGGTCCGCGGCTTACTCTAAAATTCATTGCACATTTTCTGATTATGTATCATTACGCTCTTCACAAATACGTTTGACATTTACATTTACCATTTGACATTTTGTTCTGACAGGGTAGATACATCTTATTGTCACATTTAGCGAAATCATCACAAAACAGACAATTTTTCTTCAAATCAAAGGATCTTTAGATCGTAAGGTAGGATTTAAGATAGTTATATTTTCAATTGATTTAGTTTTAACACAAATACTCTTTTCATTAGTAAATTGTTTTCTGATGCACTGCATTTCCTGCCGTCACTGAAAAATCCTCCCTAGGTTCCTGCTACAGGCCTCTTTTTCCTGGCTTAACGGATAGCATGAATATTATCTTAATATAATCTAAGGCCACACCAAATGGAACAATTGGTCTATGGATTTTCAGCTGAAAGAAATGGAGCGAGCGAGCGAATTTTTTTTTATGGAAAATATTTTTGTTCTGCGGATTATTTTGTGTAAAAATACAAGCGTTTTTTTTTTTTTTTTTTAATTATTTACAATCTTTTGATAAAAGTCGATATATCGCCAAGTAGTCTCATCCGTAATAGCTGTATCAGGTTTTTAAGACATTTTCAGATAATTTTTTTTTGCAAATTTGCAGCAATAATAATATTTAGCCCGAGGTTGCAAACATACAGTTGAAACATTAGTTACAAATAAGATGAAAAAATATCTAGCCATATTATATACACTATCCACTAAATAAAATTTTTTTTTCAATGCAACATCGGTAATACATTGAGTTCTCAAACAAAAACATTATTTGAATCGGTAAAAGAACGGGCTCTGGTCAGGCGCAAGTAAGCTCGGGTGAGTAAACGAACGTGCAACTTATATGGGAGATAACAAGTTTTTAGCATATTCGATTTACCAGACTCAATCGACTTGGTTACTTGCTTTGTTACGACAGAAATTTTGTTTGTTTGTTTAAATTTGATATTTTAAAAGCAGATGATAAATTTATGAATTTCTCAAGCATTAAAATTAAAATAGCCAGATTCGATTAATTTAAAATATGTTATGCAGCCGGTCAAGCATTCGGCAATTTCCGTGATCTCCATCTCCGTCAGTCATTGTGTAATATTTGGCACCCGACCACCGTTTGTGGCGCAATGCCGTGTGATATTTTGATTGTAACAATGCTATTAGTATTTATAAGACAAAAATATAGTCCATGCTTAAGAATCTTTTAGGGAAAATTGATCATAAAAATGATGACTTGACTATTTTGTTCAGCGGGACTAGGTTTAGGGTGGGCGATTTGACTTGTTAATCCGCGTGAGAGGAAACATCATAAAATAACATGGTAGGTAGCGCTGTCGCTGACTCTATTTTGCCGTTTGAACTATAACAACTTTGAGGTCTAATCATTATATTTTTATGGTCGAACCGACACGTAAAAAAAAAAAAACGATCGTATGAAATTTTTCTGTTGACTGATTTTGATACGAAAAATGTTGAGCATTATTTACATGCAGCAAATCCGTCGACCAATCAATCCATTTGGTGTGGCCTAACATATAATGCTTTCCAATTTAAATTATTTATATGGAAAGAAAAACCAAGTAAGAATTAATCAATGTCATCTTTGTTTTTTTATAAATACATATTATATAGGTTGTTTGACATTTTTTTTTTGATTATTTTTAAAGGGGTACATTACCATAAGAAAACTTATTTTTTTACGTCATATACATTTTTCCCTGAATCAAAAAATAATGCCACAATTTTGTTCCTGTGCTTAAACCATAAAAAAATTTGGCTGCTGGTCTATATCCAAAAAGTCAGATGTCAACGCTACATTAAAATACATGTGAGGAAATGGAAATTTGTGTTTCGTTCCGGATAAAATCGTGCAGTTTAACGAATTTCCGGATAGTTAAAATATGCCCTTCTGGTCATATTTAGAGTTATTTCCCTTCCCATTTCGACACATGACGAATATCACGTACACAAGACACATATATGTACGTGTAAAACAAAACCCGACTGTTTATAATAACTTATTCATTATAACATATGCATCATCATAAACATAATAACAACAACATTTATTTATGAAAATAGTCATCAATGGTAGTTTGATTTCCCTTTGAGAAATTAAACGACCTAATCACAGAAGAGATAACATTTACATTATCAATATCATTGTCATTTTCAAAAAATGCGAGCAAATCGTCAAGATGACTTCTGGCCTGTAAGGATGTAATGCTCGAACATTCTTGTTCGTTTGCATCTTCCTCGACTTCGTCCTCAGAAACATCACACTTATCAACTAATTTTTTTTATATCAAATGGATAGCTTGTATGTAAACAGTAAATTAATTGCTTAATCTCACAATGAGGATTTATTAAACACCAATCACGCGACATCATAGATACCGCTAATCCGGAAGCCAGAAGAACTCACATTAACATGCGACCGGAAGGTGAATACTAATTACTATAGAATTTGATAATGAGTTCCCAATCACAGCCGTGCAAAACCGGAACTCAACGGGTAATTTTACATAGTAAATATTCCGTTTACAGTAAAAAGCGTGCGGATATCGGGGTTTCCGGATTATCGGCAACCGGATAAATGAGGTTCCACTGTATATATATAAAGGTACACGCTTGTCTATTATTTAATCGGTATGACATGATAACAAAAATTCGTTAAAATGGATGAATTTATTAATCAATGTGTGGATAACGAGGCTCCACAAGGTCCAAAAAGTGCTGTTTCTGTACATTCCTTTAATTGTATACTATTTTACTCAATTTTGTAAGGGTTCATTAGAGACTTAACATGAATCTCTTCCATCCATTCATCAGTGACTTTATAGCAACAAAAATAACTAGAACTAGAACAGTACTGATGCAGGGCGTGTTACGACATTCAGGTACATACGAAGATGGTCTATTGCAATCACATTGATGTAAATATTTTTCTGCATCTCTAAATGCAAATATGCAAAAGTGCCTGGACTTAAGATTATATCGACTAGGAATAAAAGAAGGTTTGTCAATTAATAAAGACGCAGTTTGATGGAACCGGGATAAGAAATAAGGAATTTGGTAATGCGCATGCGCACAACACAAATTCGATATTTCCATCACATACCTAGCAAGTTTGATTAAATTTGGATAAGAAATAAGAAAGTTGGTAATGCGCATGCGCACAACAAAAATTCAATATTTCCATCAAATTTAGATTTCGATTATACACATGCATACCAAGTTTGATGAAATTCGGTTAAGAAATAACAAAGGTAGTAATGCGCATGCGCACTACGCATATTCGATATATCCATTACAAAATCGAAAGAATTATCGCCATACCTCTATTAGGGACCGAGATATAGCACTGCAAAGACTCAAAATGGTCCATTTTTAGACCCCTGTAAAATCGGAAAGAGTTGTCTGACCTCAAAGGTCATAAGGTCATCAGATATTCAAGGTCACAAATTATCATCATAGTAAATATCAAAGGTCAAGGTCATAAGATATACACCTTCAAACTTTGAAAAAAAATATCCGGTCGTACAAAAGAGGCAAAACCGAAAATCAAAATTCTGTCCTCAACAAGTTTTAGATAAACGCCAATTCTATCATTTGATAACCAAAATTGTTCAAATCGGATCATAAATAGCTCCAAAATAGCAAGTTTTGCATAATCAGGCAAGCCTATATGTTACTTCCGGTACGAATTTTTTCAGTTGTAACACTTTGTATTAGTGACACTAAGCTTTTGCATATGTCATTTCTGACATCACTCAATTTCACCGAAAGTGATGCCACCGGAAGTACTAACATCGAAACCGGAAGTGATGAACATTTTTTGACCATGCAGAATTATTTGCCCAGACCGACGTTTTACGCCATATAAATTTCAAATCAATCCGTGAAAAAGCAACAGAAATAGCATTTTTCGATTAATTTCCACAAAAAAAAGTATTGAACGAATTTTGGAAAATCGAATATTTTCAACTTCTATCATATGTCCTTTGTACTAAGAATTATAATAATGGAAACCAGAGCAATATCGAACAATAAATAAGCCCTCTACAGTCCATTTCCCCTTTTTTGCTATCTCACTTCAGGTTGTGCAGAACATTTTCATTTTACATTTAATACGTGAATAGCCACAAGTTAGAAAAAGTCATGAAGTCCGTTTTGTCGTACATATTTCTGGTTCCAAGAAATGAGCTCCCTAGCTGACGAAAAAAAAAAAATCGTTATGAAAACAAAGCAGGCAATAAAAATAGTTTCTTATTATAAACAATCTTTTCTGTTTTGTTTCAAAATGACAGTCTTAAAGACCTAAATGAGAGATCCAGCATGGAGACACAGATTATGGAATTTGGCCAAACACCAAGACAGTTGTTTGTTACCCCTCATCCACAGAGATTCTCTAGTATGGCAGTACCCAAAACAACAACATGCACAGCTCACTCTATTGACTCGAAAGATGCAGCCACAGGGGAATCTGAGTTTAAAGGTAAAGTATACTCTCAAGAAAATTATATTCATTTATATATTATTATATTGTTAAAAGTATTTATTTATAGCTTTTGAGTTGCTTTCACAAAAAAGTGTTTTGCCCCGCCTTGCTTTTGTATTGATTATTGGACTTCATCACTATTTCTAACTCAAAGTAATCAATTTATGGACTGTAGAAGGTGTATTTATTGACTGATTTGCTCAGGTTTTTCTTCATTGCACTTCTTGGAGCAGAGGGAAAAATATATCATTTGAAAAAAATTTATTTTAACAAAATTTGTTTGATACCTTATTTTGATGCTATTTAGGTTGTTATTTGGCAGATTGATTGGAAACTTATATGGTGTAGACCTCCAACAAGGCCAATTAAATATGCAAAGTGTTTGCGTCACTTCTGGTTTCGACATTATTCTTCCAGTGGCATCACTTCTGGTGGAATTGAGTTATATCAAAATTAACGTATGCATCATGTTAGTATCATTACAGTGGTGTAACCTATAGTCATGCATATAACGATTCGACATGGAATTTTGTCAAAATTAAAAAACATAAAAACATTTCTTTTTATGTCTTAGATGTTTCTTCAGATATTCTATAAAAAAAATTAAAATTGGTTTGTTTAGATTTTCTTTATAAATCCCTTATCTTTATTTAATATGAAGTCATTATAAATAAATACCAATTCCACCAAAATACAATGATTTAAACAATAAAATAGTGACTGTCAAAATAAGATAAGTAAAACGTAAGAGTAGTTTATTGCTAAAATTCCATAAAATTTTTCTGCTCACATGAAATCTGCTAGTTTGTCACGTGACTTTGTTCACTGGAATATATTCCATAACTGAAATCTGCCAATTTGTTTATGTTAGAAAGTTATTAATCTTTCCGGAGATGCACGCAATTAGGTTCGCTTTTTTCAAATGCATGTGGCAACTTCAGGAATTCGACATTCATCATTATTTATATTATCACTGTCAATATCAACACATTCTGAATCCGATGGCCAGTCATCTTCAAATGTCAAAAACTCGCGCTCAGAGTCACTATCAGTGTAGATATGGGCTATAACAGCTTCAACAATCAATTTTCCTGCCATTCTATGGCCGTTTTACATCAAAATACACCCATATTCAATCGAAAGTTGATCGAAATACATGGCAGCGAAATTGTTTACATTGACGATTGCTATTTAGGTCACCTGATGTGGTTGAATAGACATCATTAGAGCCATAAATTTCATATCTATCTATATAAGATGTCTATGGTTATGACGCTATGAAAACTCAAATTTCGCGACATCTTTTCACAAATATTACCTATTTTCAATCAAATTATTAGGGATTTTTTATAGAAGAAACGTGCATGGTTTTTTGTCTAAAAATTACCACCGATATCTAAATCTGATTATACATATATCAACACCGTTTTCATAGCGGTAGTTTCGTATTTATTTAAAGTGGTGGTAGCAGGGGTAGAATGTCGCAATATTGTTAAGGGGTTAACTTACATACTCGAAAACTCAAGGAATTTTGCCCTTTTTTTTCAACGACAAAAATGTATATATAGCCAAATTGTTCAAGATGGAAGAATTTGTGTTTGACATTAATATATTGACTTTCTGTTGGGATGGGTGTTTATGATAATATTTGGGTATGAGTTCTGAACTTAGTTCTTTATACAAAAAAGACAGATGATGAGAAGCATATTGCCTCACACAGAAACGACAAAGTCGTTCGCATCTTGTTTTGACTGTAGCTGTTCCTATATGGATTTGAGGGAGGCATCAAAACATCTTACCAAGCGTTGCTTTTTAGCCAAGATTGACTTAGGCGCGGCCTATCGCTCAATACCACTACATTCTTCTAATTATCCTGCAATCGGTCTTAAATGGACATTTACTGGCGACAAACCCCCTACATATTTATATGACACAAAGCTCCCCTTCGGTGCTCGGAAAAGCCCTAAAATTTTCCAATCTCTAAGTAGTAGCGTCTGTTGGATTTTATGGAAAAAATATGGATACCGGGCAATAGCTTACCTTGATGACTTTTTGGTGTTTGGTACATCTTTAACCGAATGTCAATCTGCACTTTCTAGCCTCCTTGAACTACTGCGTGAACTTGGCTTTGCCATTAACAGGTCCAAGGTGGTTTGTCCAACAAATGTGCTTACCTTTCTTGGTGTTCAAATCAATACTGTGGATATGACCTTTTCCTTACCTATCGATAAACTGTGTGATTTTACTGATCTCTTACAACGCTTTGCTTGCAGAAAACGTGCTAGCAAACATCAACTCAAAACTCTTATAGACAAACTCTCGTGGGCTTCTCAAATCATACCTGGGGGGCGCACCTTTTTGCGACGTGTTATTGACTTAAAATGCACACTTGTGGACAAACACCATTAGGTTGTACTTAACAGTGACTTTATGTCTGACCTTCATTGGTGGCTTTCTTTTCTAGCAGTATTTAATGGTAGTTGCAGAATAATTGATCAGTGCCCAATACAAACTGATGTCTATATGGAGGGAGCAGGAGGTTATTACAATGGTGACTACTATTATATCAATTGGATGGCAGACTGTCCGCTTTTATACCCTCTCCATATTAATGTTAAGGAATTTATCGCAATTATTCTAGCATTGTGTCTTTTCAGAACTTTTTGGTGGATAATAATGATTCCTACGAAATGTGTTATAAAACTCTCGACATCAACACCATGCTGGAGCCAATATAAAATAGTAGCCAAGCTAGATATTTTCTCCCATTCTGAAATATGCCGATGCAGTTCCCCTGCTTTGAAATTTCTACAGACGAGCCATTCATGTTTTACATTTTCGTGAGCATTCGTAAGAACATATTTGGCCGATACAGATTCTCTCCATTCAACTGGGTTACCTATATAATCTACCCAATGTGATAACTCATTCTCCTTAAAGAAATAAAAAAAAGGAATATCAGTCCAAATCAACTTAACTATTAGATTCAGTACTTCTCTATTAGAATTAGTTTTTACATCATTTTCACATCTCGTGCTATTGTGTCCAGGTTTACCACACTTATAACATGTGATTCTTTGATTGGACTTTCTTGCGTTTTGCTTACCACCCCGACTTGGAACTCGGCATAAGTGATGACTCCAATCTCAATGCAGAATGTTTTCCAGATGTAGTGGAAGAGATATCCATTGCAGATGATGGAAATTCAAATGATGGAAATGTCTGGCTATTTCCAGATGTAGTGGAAGAGATATCCATTACAGAGGATGGAAATTCTAATGATGGAAATGTCTGGAATAGGAAATCCTTCCATTACAGATGATTGTTCCCATTCAAAGAAAATGGGTGAACATTTTAAAAATATTTTAAATTTGAAGAAAAGCAGACAGGTGATGCGACTGAAATCAGATCAAGGAAATTGTTGAAAGAGGTATTATAAAGAATACAAACAATTTGAGAAGAGCTGATCCTGAATTCAGGGCAACTGAAAATTTGAGAGGAACTCCCAAAAAAAGGAAAAGAAATGAAGATCCTGATTACAGGGATTTGAAGAAAGGTTGGAGCTAAAAGTGCCAAAAGAGCTGATCCTGATTTCAGAGCAGCTGAAAGAGAAGGGGAAATCCATGGTAAACTGGTAAACGGACTAAGAGAGCTGATCCTGATTTCAGAGCAGCTGAAAAAGAAAGTGATATGCATGATGAGATCTTGGTCAAGTTAGAAATTGGTAATAATCGGATGAACAGTTTCAGAGTTATTGTCCTTGTGTGTACAGCGATGAGACATTGTTCATGTTTGAATTTGATGATAACTTGATGAACTGTTTCAGGTTTTTGCCTTGACTAAAAAATGATTTTAAGATTATTTGAAAATTATTATTAAGCCACTAAAGATTTTGTTATCATTTCTGATAGCTGGTAGTGGGCGTATGTTACCTTGTCTGGCAAGCTATCTTTTTTACTCTCGAATTCCTAGTGAAAATGGAAAAATGTGAAAAATGTCACCAATACATCCTTAAAGTCCATGATATTAGCTATGTGGCAAATAATCAGTATATTGCCACTTAAACCTACATGTTACCTTTGACATTCCAAAGTGATAATTTATGTATAATATAAATTATATTTTGGTAGATACGTTTTGATCACGTAGACTTACATACGTAACGTATTATACAAGCGCTATTTCACGGGTGGTTACGTAATAGCGAGCAAAACAATAACTTCCGTTATTGTGCAGCATGGCATGGCAGCTTACCTTTGTGCAGTATTAAAAAATCTTTAATGGCATCGTCTACCCGTCCGAAATGCCAGAATGCTGGCAGGAAAATTTCACAATATGTAAACGATCGCCTGGAGAAAAGCCAAAGAGAGTTAGGTCTGGAGCTCGATTTAACCGACCCCGAAACTCCTCAAACAAATAAGCCAGCAGAATGCCGACAACAGTCGCCACGTGCTGATTTACAAACCCGTTTGGCACTCAACACCAATAGACCAATCCAATAATATAACGGAAGCCGACATCAGCTCACTGCAAAACTGCAGTGTCCAACTCGAGCTTCAGTTAGCTAAGCTCAAGCTTAAACAACATTGCAAGGATATTCAAAGTAAAATCAACACCCTCTGTGCCCACAAGACAACTTTGCATCATGATGTACTCTCCTTTCCAAACCTCCAGAATATAGACCAAAGAAGGCCTCCTGACGTTGCTACCTCACAGAGAATTGACCACAGCTCAGCTCCAATTAACAGATTAAATTTTACCCAGGCTCATCTTTCAGTTAATAATCAACAAACCAAAGACACAGGTTCAGGACAAGGCAAGTTACGTCTCGCTCATAATTATATATGGGATGACCCATTAAACCTTGCCTCTAGAGGCGACATTGTGATGGTAACAAATTCAGGAAAAAACTGAATAAGCGTATTGATCGTGAGTTTCATAAATTGTCTATTGAGCAATGGGGCTATGCAAGCTTGAGCATTCTCAGTGAACTCGTGGAACAGCAGGATATAACGTCACAAGGTATTCTAGAATATATCGAATATACAAAAACTATATTTCGCTTCTTCAGTAAATTTATTACATCAAGCGTTCTGGCTTACGATGAGGAATACCGTGAGTTGCAATTCAAAGACAAATTTACTTGGGGAACTCCGAAAGCTCATCTGTTTGACTTTCAGTTGGTAGCAAAACCCAATTCCTTCAAGAAGCACAGCAACAATAATCGTCTCCCCAACAAAAAGAGACGGTTTACACCTGAGGGAAGAGAGATTTGTAGAAAATTTAACCCAATAGATTCATGTGATTTTCCAAATTGTAAACTAGTGAGTGAGGACTCCCTGTCGCATACCTATGCCCACCAGGGTATAGGCACACAAGTTAGTAATTGGACACATTATCTTGTTGATCACCCTGACAGGGAGTTCCTATTAGATGGAATCAAACACTGTTTCTCCATATTTGATGTGCCGCTTACCGATAATCAACCCTGCAATGAAATGGATAACTACAAGTCTACAGAGTCCCATAGATCCCAGGTTGAAAAACAAATTATGGTTGAGCTGGAACACGGTAATTATGTACTTTTCAAGGTAAAACCGAGAATTGTTAGTGCTTTAGGTGCAGTGCCTAAATCCTCTTCAAATATCAGACTTATTCATGATGCCAGTCAACCAGTCGGTTCAAGTTTAAATGATCGCGTTCGTTTTGACTGTAGCTGTTCCTATGGATTTGAGGGAGGCATCAAAATATCTTACCAAGGGTTGCTTTTTAGCCAAGATTGACTTAGGCGCGGCCTATCGCTCAATACCACTACATTCTTCTAATTATCCTGCAACCGGTCTTAAATGGAAATTTACTGGGGACAAACACCCTACATATTTATATGACACAAAGCTCCCCTTCGGTGCTCGGAAAAGCCCTAAAATTTTCCAATCTCTAAGTAGTATGGATACCGGGATACCGGGCAATAGCTTACCTTGATGACTTTTTGGTGTTTGGTACATCTTTAACCGAATGTCAATTTGCACTTTCTAGCCTCCTTGAACTACTGCGTGAACTTGGCTTTGCCATTAACTGGTCCAAGGTGGTTTGTCCAACAAATGTGCTTACCTTTCTTGGTGTTCAAATCAATACTGTGGATATGACCTTTCCCTTACCTATCGATAAACTGTGTGATTTTACTGATCTCTTACAACGCTTTGCTTGCAGAAAATGTGCTAGCAAACATCAACTCGAAACTCTTATAGGCAAACTCTCGTGGGCTTCTCAAATCATACCTGGGGGGGCGCACCTTTTTGCGACGTGTTATTGACTTAAAATTCACACTTGTGGACAAACACCATAAGGTTGTACTTAACAGTGACTTTATGTCTGACCTTCATTGGTGGCTTTCTTTTTTAGCAGTATTTAATGGTAGTTGTAGAATAATTGATCAGTGGCCAATACAAACTGATGTCTATATGGAGGGAGCAGGAGGTTATTACAATGGTGACTACTATTATATCTATTGGATGGCAGACTGTCCGCTTTTATACCCTCTCCATATTAATGTTAAGGAATTTATCGCAATTACTCTAGCATTGTGTCTTTTCAGACCGACATAGTCTACAGTGATGATAAATCCGCTGTTTCATGGATTAATAAGGGAACCTCCAAAAACCCTTTTATTATGACTATATATCGGTTATTATTTTGGATCTGCGACTTAACTGCTATATACATTACAGGTAAAAACAACACAATTGCTGATGCCTGTTCCTGACTCCATGAGGATAATAAGCTTGATTTACTTTATACCCTTATCCCATCCTTGGCTGTGGAACTTTTTAGTGTGAAGCATTTATCATCTCACATGTCCGTTGCTTTTATATATTCCAGGTGGTTTAATTCAGGAACTCGAATTAAAGGCCAAAGTGTTCAAAAACAAGGCATGGGCTAGTTCAACAATAGCTACTTATTAGACTCACTTAAGGTGTTATTATCAATTTTTTGCTACTGTGGACATGTGTAGTGCACCTGCATCTTCCTCATTGTTACAGTGCTATGTGGTTTATCTTGCTCATATAAAACATTTCCGTTATGCTACTATCCAGCAGTATCTAAATATTATACCGCATATTCACAAACTATCAGGCTACTCTGATCCTATTGTAACCTTGTGCCTCTAAATATGTGTGTTTAGTTGTTCTCCCTAGGGGATGATAGAGGAAGAATGGTCAATTTTAATGGGATAGCCAGTAGCCTCAGAGCTTCAGATTAAACCTATGAATATAATAAACACGAGCTATTATTCTAGGTTTAATGTTGAAAAGAAATGTCCAAAAACAGAACGCCTAACATAGAAAATCACAATGGCGGTTTTCTTTACTATGCGATGACGTGTTAAATTTGGACATGGACTTGCGTATAGCTTAATAATAGGACATGGACATATGACAAAATTAGGTATAACTATTAGTAGACACAAATATATTTTTTGTATATACCAGGAAAATTACATATAAAAGTATATGATGGCTACACACACCACTCCTAAAGAAAGAGTTTAACTTACTAGTTTAACTTAAGTTAAAATCTGCTATTTTGCAAAACATTTTGACATTGAGAAAGATAAAAATGCATTATTCTAAAACAATACTAATAAAGTATCATATTAAAGAACAGAACAAACAGAAATGACACATTCTAATTGTTGATTAAAGTCTCTTGAATCCATGAATCAAAAATCTATGCAACACATAATTCTCTTCCAATGAATTCCAGAAATCACAATTATCTAGATATTTTATCATATATTTTTCACATGAGCACACTACGAAACACAAATTATATAAATCTAGATAACGCTTTTACACCACATACACTTCCGTATCACGTGTTTGTTTAGGTCTAAAGAACGATGAAGCCCAAACAAACATGTCAAGAGCTTTATAAGGCTTTGAACTAGGAATTTGATCACTCACAGCACGCGTATCAATTTCTTGAGGCTCTCCTAAAATATCAAACGTGAATCTCTTTGGAGTTTTATGAGATCTTGTGGATCTGCGCAAACCTGTTGTAGAATCTTCAGATGATCCTGGAACATTTTCCTCTTCTTCAGTTGTTTCAACAATCGATTCTATATAGGCACATTACTATGATCTGAAATACTAGATTCATCTTCAACAAGGTTTTCAGTGATATTATCAACTTGATCTATTTCACTACGATCAGAATTTTTCACATCACTATTAGATTCCTCGATCACTTGAGCTCTATCTAATATATCTGATCTTGGCACAAATTCCAAAGCTTCCACAGAAAGATCAGAATCAATTATACTAGACACAGATTGATCTACATGAGATTTCATATTGGATGATGATTCAGATTCATATTGATTATCAAAATATACATTATAATCATAAAAGGGTTCTTCATCAGAACTAGATTCTGAGCTGTTTTCACTCTCAACTTTATCACATTTAGAACGAGAACGAGTTTTGACTTTGCGAGGTTCCAAATGTTTCAAAGATTCCATTTCCAAAGACAGTTGTCAACACGGAAGTAAAAGATTTCTATGTAAAGTTCTATCTTTACCTGAATTGTCTTCTTTAGGAACAGTATATACAGGAACATCGTTGGATTTTGATTTAACTACATACCAGGTTTCCAACGATCACTGAGCT